CAGCTGAGTGTAATTCTGGGTCCAGGCACCCTATAGAAGGGTGGGTGCGGCCTAAGCAGGCCTGGGTGGGAATTTAGGGTTCAGGGTTTAGGTTTTGGGGTTTAGGGGTTTGGGGTTTGTGGTTTAGGGTTTGGGGTTTATGGTTTGGGGTTTGGGGCTCAGGGTTTAGGGTGGGACTCTGATTTGATACAAAATGGATAATCAAGCGGGCGGAGAGGAAAATGGAAAATGATGTGGAAACCTTAGGTCACATCAAGGGGGTTATATGGGAATAAGGGAAATCATATTGAAATCCTGCGGAGCGGGTGCATATGGATTATAGTGGTTCTACACCGAATAGTAACGTGGTTAATGGTCTATGGTTCTGGATGTGGATCTAAACTCATCAGTTTTGCCCTGCACCCAGTGTCCTAAACCTATTTATATACGGTCAAGAGACACGCGGGTACGAAGGTTAATGATGTAAGATTAATGCAGCCCGGGGCATCCGGTTTGAGATGCCTCCTGGCGACTTGAACTTTAAGCCTAGGAGGCTCAGTCTCAAGGGGCAACAGCGGCAAGATGCACTCGCAAGGCCTGGCCCCGAAGAAGGAGTATCCTCACCAAGGGGTCCATTATTTCGAACACCTGGGACTGACAGTACATGGCATGAGCGAGTGTCACGCGAGAGCCCCAGACACCTCAATTACCTTACTCAAGCATCTACCTGTGTCAGTATGCAAGGATCCAAAGCAACTGTTTGACTGCCGGGACTTTCTGGAGATCTGCGTGGAGCTCATGTGGACCACCCCGTTTACAGAAATCAAGTTGGGTACGGAGAACTACATCAGTTCGCAGAAGCTGAGACCTAAATCTGAGTGATAGGGGTAGGGTCTTGGGGCAAACCCTCTTCACTGAGACCTCTGTGTTAGGGCCTGAATGAAAGTTCAAAAGGTTCAGGCTTGAAGCTTTGGGCTGCGAAGCATCCGGATGCTCAGAGTGGTGCCCGTGCGTCTTTGTCTTGACGACCCAAAGGTTACCTGATGCAATCATTTTTGTTCCAAAGCTAGGAGTGATTATGTGTTGGGACCTAATTTCTCACCGACGGATGGTCTTGACATGTTCTCTGGTTCTGTGCTTTGCGCGAATATCTGCCTGCCCCGACCTGTGAGCTGTGCCGCAGCAGTCCTGCATGGTTCGCTTGCTGACAGCGGCCTTCAGGTTTGCAGCTTAAACTTCCTCGCGCCTCCGAATCTGCCAGTCTCACTGCGGGGTTCAGGTGGGTGTTTGGGGGTGGGTGTGGCAGTGGCGGCAGCCGGGTGCTGAAGCTGCGGCAGGGTTATGCTTGTCACTGTGATCAAGTGCGAGTATCAACGGGAGGAAGGGTTTAGACACGCACTGGCTTTCTTGACTTGAACCCGGAGCCCCGACACCTCACAAGCATACTGGCAGCCAGAATCATATTTGCCGCAGCTGCACAGCAAAACCGTTCCGTTTATTCCTTAGCCTGTTGACGAAGAGTATTCTTGCCGACATTGTTCCACGAACATGCTCTGCATTCCTGAGGAATCGACATTCAAAGCGCTGTCATACCTACTGGCTCAAATGGTCGAAAGCTGTGGACAAGTGGGCTCGATTCTGGGTTGCTGTTAAGGAACTTAAATTAAGTTACCCTAATGGGCATCTATAGTATTAATAGGGTTTCCCCAATATAGTAACTTAGATTGAGTTCCTTCAATCCCTATATTCCCCCAGCACAACCCAGGATTCTGGCTGCCCCTTCTGTACACCATTGCCTTGGGGTTCCTGCTGTGCCTGGCCGTTGCGATTATATTATGGTATATTCTAGTATGTCCTGTTTTAATAGTGGTTTAGGTCTAGGGTTTAGGGAGGGATAATGGAAAAGAACGTGGAAACTACTACATCATAATAGGGTAAATATTGGGGTTACAATGGGATAATGGAAAAGAAAACGAAAACTATAATGGAAAAGAAAATGAAATTACTATTCAGGGTTTAGGCCATTGCGATTATGTTTTTATTTCTGCAGCTTATGGCGGATACGATCCTGCTTCAGAATTTTGAGTTGTTGTTTGGGTGTGTGCTACAGAACACTGAGCGTGCTTATGTTTTAGGACTCGGCCTTTTTGGTTTGAAGTCTAGAGCCTCCAGCCTACGGCTTTGTTTCGCACGTTGCCCCAGTATTTCTTTGCAATTAAAGGTAATCTCAAACATGCTCTGGCATGCACGGTTAGCATTCAAGCAGCCTCATACAGCAGCATTCAGATCGCAGTTTGTAGCCTGCAGCTGGAGCCTCAACAAGTCGCAGCTTTTCGAGAACAAGCCTCTGCACAAGACCTACAGTGGAACCTTGCGTTCCTCCTGCAATCTGCTTTAAGAGTTCTGCAGATGACCACAAAATACATTGCCTGCTCTCATATTGGCAACTACCGTGCCCAGGTTTTCCTTGGATTTGTGCAGCTGCTCTGAAAGAGATTTAGCTGCCCACCAGCGGGAGTTCTTGCGGTTGAATCCGCCGGCTTCGTTTAAATCCTCACGCGGCTTTTCAGGCTAAGTCAATGAAGACGAGATTCCACAAATACTTGTGTACGTTCCTCCCGGAATTATGTACTAGTTACATCCACGCACACCGCAACTGCCTTATTCCCGCAACCGCGAAACCAAAGCCTCAACCTGAAGACATTGCCAAGGAACTTGGACTTGACGGACTACTATGACACAGAGCCCCAGAGCTTGAAAGTTGAGATGCAAACATTTCTTCTGCATCACGCAAAAGTCTAAGTGTACAAACCCCGGATGCTAAACCTAGGCTGCTCTTATCACCAAGCAACAAGTGGGCAAACATGCCTCATGGCGGGAGCATGGATTGTTCTCATCCGGCAGGCCGCAAGTACAGGCCCTAACTACAGTGCTGCTAGTAGCAACCAAAGATGAGACCAATGCCGCCTGGCAAGCTTCTGCCAAGATGAATCAGGGTGCCCTGCCATTCCAGACTCTGAATCTCAAATCTCACCTTAATCGGAATCTCATGGATACGTGCCACGTGGTACTGAGTACAACGTCTTGGGCTAATCAGTTAGTCGCCCATGAACCCCCGAAGTCAATCGCCACTGCCCCAAACTCCCATTTCGGTGTACCCAAAACCCCCAAGCCCTAAACCCCCAAACCCCTAAACCCCTAAATCCCTAACCCCTTACATAAACCCCCCAACCCCCCACCCCCATGAGATGTAACCTGTGCGTTACTGCCCTCACAACGGTACAGACAGCAAGGCGGTCAGGTGTCTCTTTTACAGCTGAGGCACTCGAGTGCTACTGAGTCCACACTAGAACCTTGAGCATATGGACATCATGCATTGGCGTGTTGGACATGTG